GATTTTTTTGCACCCTCAGATTCCAGATTTTCAAATAGGTGTCCTATCCTAACAAACCATACATCAATGGAAAGCTTATTTATTCAGCTTTCAGATGATGTATAAATCTCAATTTTGAAAAATTGACCCTTATGACTGGTTTTGTGGTCCAGGGTCACAAATGTAGCTTTATTGAGCATGAGAGAAGTCTTACCTACCCCAAATTTTGAATGTGTATTTGAATGTCTTCTTAAACATTTTAGTGTATTGTTCATATCTTTGGTAATTTGTTCTCAACAGTATGTGTTATTTAAAATAATTTAATGATGCACATTTTGTCTCATCTTCTTTATTGTTGTTAAAACAAAGACCCTTTTTTGTTAATAAGATTAACACTGTTCTCTGTCCAAGTATTAGCAGAAGGTGTTTAAGAAAGTGGACAGAACCAGGTAATAGCCTGGTAAACAAGATGAACAAAGTGCTCCCTCCTTGCACAGATCTGCAGGAAAGGCTGAAAATAGGCATGCCTCGTTCTGGACTAATATTCGGTTTCTTCAGATGCCAAGCGACAAAACATACCACATATCCTAGTGTAGGAGGTGGTTACACATCATTCAAGCCCAAGTGCATTCCATATTTACTGTTCTGTGATACAGGTGCTGGATGCACGACCAACTGCACTTACATTGCATTCATTAGTTTATTTCTCAGAGGATCAAATTAATATTTTACAGCCTTTTTCCAAACGCAACGGTGCACTCATGCTAAGACTACAGTTTGGGAGCGACAAAACATACCACATATCCTAGTGTAGGAGGTGGTTACACATCATTCAAGCCCAAGTGCATTCCATATTTACTGTTCTGTGATACAGGTGCTGGATGCACGACCAACTGCACTTACATTGCATTCATTAGTTCATTTCTCAGAGGATCAAATTAATATTTTACAGCCTTTTTCCAAACGCAACGGCGCACTCATGCTAAGACTACAGTTTGGGACACCAGCCAGACGAAAAGCTTTTCTTGGCATTGCATTGAGAAATCGCCTTTCATGTTTCAGTGCTCGTCTATGCATGTGTGCTTCTGAGTGGGCTGAGAAGTAGCATACGCTCATTGCAAGTGAAAATAGGAGCAGACAAACTGCTCGCTGAAGATGCGCCGTACCAGATGCACTCTGAACACTGGCCTTATTATTTTGACTAAGATACATTACTGCCCCGTATCAGAGTGTAAGCTGTGATATTTCAGGCTAACTTATGGGGTGAAAGGGGAAAGAAGGGTAAGTGAGCTGTGAATTTGCCTATTCTGATCCAGAATAAGCAGAATAAATTGAAAGTGCTTGACATTTCCATTAAGGTGCACATTGGGAATGTAAATGGGAGCCCTTTTGTTTAAGCTGTCCGCAGTAATTCAGTCTTCAGCGGTATTTATTGTCAGCGTGATGAAAACCAATAGGCTATTCAATCCATATAAAAGTCCAACAGACACCCTTGCATGCCCACTTACATATTTCACCGTCTGTCTATTGGATATGTCAATGTATACATAAAACTAATGCTGTGTTTCGTGTACCCAGCAGCGCGGAGATGCGTGACCTTTAAAGAAGTCCAACTGAAAGAAACCTCCATTATCACAGCAGTGAGATAATGTAAACATGATCAATGCGGTGAAAAAAAGCAAAAGCCTTTCGTCACAGCGATACATGAGTGAGTGCAATCTAATTATGAGTGAAGTATCAATATCGCCGCTGTCAACTTTACAGCGGAAATGAGAGCCAGATGAGACAGACGCATGAGACGAGCTCTAGACGAGCAACATATATGCTTTGACGTTTAAGGGCATTTGGGTATTGCGTTAATACAATCGAAGGTTGCTCAGTAACTATAGAGATAACTAGAGATTAATTCAACCCAACCCTGTTCCTGGAGGCCACCCTACAGTACATGTTTTGGATGTTTCTCTAATCAAATCGACCTGATACAACTCATTCGTTTGTAAGTAGACTAGGCTACTCCCAATATTTGAAATCATTGTTTCGGATACGGAACACACATCCAAGACCATTTGGAATCACTAGATTAACTAAACATTAACTAGAAGTTCTTTCTTCAGGCCAAACAATGTGACTTTGATTTGAAAGGCAACGGGTGGGCATGAAAGTGAAGGTTAATGATCTAATCATCAAAGATTGCACTGCAACAAGAGGATTAAAGAGGAAGCAACATGTTGTAAAGGGTGCATTCACTCCGGAGAAGTGTTCAATCCTGTTATTATGTTTCACAATTATGTTTCCTTCCTAAATATTGCTATGCCATTAGCTTGATGGATTAACTAGCTCAGGATATGAATCAAGTCATTTAATTGTGCTAATGTGAGAGCTAACCATTTGTGGGGTTTAAACGGTCAAGGTTTGGCTGGTTAGCGTGGCCTTGTTAGTGGCCATTTAAAAGTAGGTATAAAATATTTGTTTTCATATTTTCAGAATATTTAATTGAATATTTAATATTTTGTTTTATTATACAAGAGTATAATAGACCTAGATGGTTTCTAGTGATTCTCGGAGGGCTCTTAAAAACCCTTTTCCTTGTCTGTTGCCGTAATTAGATGGTTGGCTCAAAATAACCTGGCAGCAGAGTTGTGCGCCCATGAGGAAAAATGGTAGATTTGAAATTGTGTACATGGGGATTTTGCACCAGTCGAGCAACTGTCATTGAGATGAATGGGAATGCTGAAAGATATATATTTCTACAGGTATTCATTCTCCTTAGGGGTTTAAGCAGACTTCCTTTGAGAATAATGTGCTACCATAATCAACCCATGTTTACATGGTAAAAACATCAAAGGAAATATCTCCATAAATAAGTGATAAAAATGCTCATATAAATGGTTATCAATTTGCATGAGACTTCAATTATTGTACAAATCCTATACCCTGTTTAATGCGGTTAAAATCATTAGCCCCACCACATTATATATTTATTTCATTTATAATTGATAGAGATAATTATGGCGATTTGTCATTTCCAAATGCACCTCGCATTACTGGTAAAAATCGATATGTTTACTTAATTAAATTACATGCGAAATCAATTCATAGGGGTGATGACTGGAGCTGTTTGGGTCCATCTCGTCTAAATGAACGAGAACACTGCATCGAGGCGCGGACTCTTAAATGAAGAGAGAGAGAGAGAGAGAGAGAGTTTCTCAAATGCCATAATTTAACATCTGTCGACAACTGAACGATACGAACGAGATAAGACGGCAAACTAAAGTACAGCACGAAGATCGGTGAACTTTGGTTTACAATCATGATCTCGCGGAATTGAACGAATGCTTCAAGAAAGAAGAAAGCGAGGACGCGAAGAAGCCGCGTGCATGGATCTCTCTCATACATCCGTCATCCCACGCGCGCTGTTCTCCAGGCAAAATTCAACATGATTCGCCTAATGAAACTGATCGCGGCGAGGTTTTAATGGAGGTGGAAGGTGAATCTCCTGACAGCGAGCTTGAGTTTTAGTCGCCGTTAGTTCCAGATGCACAACATTGCTCCTCATTGCAGAGTTCTCATGCATCCAGTTGGAGACACCAGAGCTTGGAGAGACATGTGCGGTCTTTAGCAGCAATAATCGCGGCAGGAAACCAGTCTGGAGGGACGGTTGATAAAAGCAATAAATCCCTACTGAACATAAGGGACCCGACGCGCTATGAGAAACTTCAGGGGAAGAGCTTCACTGGCGCGGATGCTAGCTTTACGACGCCTTGTGATGTTTTAAAGTGGAGCCTTTCTGAGACACGGGAACTTTTTGGATTTACCATCGACATAATTGCGGAGATGACAAGAAGACAGGACGACATTGCGCCATCACCTGTTATCTGAACACTGTGATTAGTTCTCACAAAAGCACTGAATCTTTATTGCCTTTGAACCTGCTTTCAATACATTCCGCTGTTAGACATGGAGACTAGTCAGCTACGGACAGTAGACGGGTTGATTTCTTAACGAATACATAGCCATATTGTTTTTATTCCTCTTAACACGTTGCGTTCGGTACATCTATTAATTTTGCACTATGATGGAACCGCCACCTTGCGCTAAAAAGAGCCTGTCTCTTTCGCTGCCGGTTCCCCGGGAGGGACAGGCGACCCTCAAGCCTCCGCAGCATCTGTGGAGACAGCCACGGACCCCCATCAAAATCAAACACCGCGGTTACTCTGACACCGACCGGCATCACCACCGACAGATAGAGCGCTCAAATGCCATGGACACGAGTGACCGGCCGGGGCTCAAGAAGTCCCGCATGTCCTGGCCATCGTCTTTCCATGGAACCACCAGCGCGTCCATGAGCAACTGCGCTGGGAACAAGCGGTAAGAAAGCCGAGTGACTTGTTGCGTGTGAGCAAACGGGCTATTTCTGTGTGATGGACGCCCAAAACTGATAATAATGATGCTTCTCAGAGATAGCGTGAGTTTGAAATGCCTCGAACGTGACCCCCAGAAGTAACCTCGATCCGGTTATGAGCAGCTGATGGCATAACCGATTACTAATAGTGCTAATCAGCTGAATTAAAAGTGTAGAAGAAGCGCACGTAATAGGGTTTTTGGAGAGACCGGGCCCCCGTGTTGTGGAAACCACAAAGTTTAGTGTGACTGATAAAGTGTAGCAGTAAAAAAAAAAAAGCTCGAATATTACAGTCATTTAGGATCATGGCATATGCGCTTTCGCTCTTGGCACGTGCAGACACCATATACGCATGCCAAAAAAAATTAGCATGATCTAATCAAGCACTTCAGCATCAAATTAGTGACATAATGGGGGGTTTAAGACAATGTATTTTTGTTTACTGTAACATGCTATGATTTTAGTGTACAGTTTTCTGGTTCTGTATCTCTCTTCTGGCTTTATGATAATATATGTGACCCTGGACCACAAAATCAGTCAAAAGGGTCAATTTTTCGAAATTGAGATTCATACATCATCTGAAAGCTGAATATATAAGCTTTCCATTGATGTATGGTTTGTTAGGATAGGAAAATATTTGGCCTAAATACAACTATTTGAAAATCTGGAATCTGAGGGTGCAAAAAAATCAAAAGATTACTGGCATCCATTTAGCATTCATAGAATCTTTCCATTGCACAAAAGGTTCTTTATAGTGGAAAAAGGTATTATTAAAATGGTCTTCACACTAAGAAAAAATGGTTGCATTTCCTACACATCCAAAAGTGTATAAATGCAATATAATGTTAGCCAACAAGCTGAAGCGTGCACAGAAACACCAGAAGCTCTGTATTCCTTGGATTTTCAATTGCACTACCACAGCACTGTGTAGCGCTGTTATAAATAATCAACTCAAATTAGTTTTTTACAGAGAAACACATTTGTCAGCCTGACATTCATGTCAAATTTTGTGGGTTTGCACGATATGCTGTAGCATACAATACACTGCTTTTACCCTCAAGGATAAGTGTGGGTGTTGCTCGTTGTGCTTGTACGTAGACTGATGCGCATACAGACTGATGTTAGTGCTGGAAGAGGCGAAATGTGCCGTTCTGTTGAGTGGCGCCTCACCAAATTGGGTGATTATTACTGTAATAATTCGCTTCTGTGAGGGCCATGAGCCCCAGGGGAGGCCGAGAGCCGAAAGGCCCTGGTTTCCTTCCTGTCAACTTTTGCCTAGGCCACAGACGGCCCGCACGGCAGGCTCCTGGGAGACAGGCCAGCTCTGCCTGACTGTATAGTAAAGCCTGATTTGTATTCCCTTCCCCAGGACACGCTCACAGCCAGTCCAAGAATTAGTGCAGCAGCACTGACTTCGACTGTCCGGCTTCTACTGTGGGCGGGCGGCACAGTGCGAGAAATAGAGAGCGATAGACAGATAAAGCTGCGTGTGAGTGCGTGTGGCTCTGCTGATGTGATGTCTCAAGAAGCAGAGTGAGATGTCCATGTCTATCTGCTCACTTCCTCATCGCACTCATCACAACATAATCTGCCAGCAAAGGCATAGGTCTCCAAAGGTCATCCAGTATGTGTTGTGTCAATAAGTGTGTTTACATGCAAAATCCTCAACGGATTATTCTTAATAACTTGACAATGTGAGGTCACGAAAACTGCTTAAACAGTTTCTTTTTATTATTGATTTAAGGTCATAACCAGTTTAAGCTAAGCCTGATAGGCTCATTATATTTATTTGTATAGCGTTTTTCACAATACACATTGTTTCAAGGTAGCTTTACAGAAAATCATAATATTATTAATATTGTGATGCCTTATGGTAGCATTTAGCAGATTAGAGCTGGGCGATAATACAGTTTACATTTTGCAACAATACAAGCAATCAAGCTGTTGAGATAATATAGTTACATTTTGCAACTAAATAGAAGTCAAGCAATTGAGATTAGCAATGTAGTATATATTATTTTATGTGAGTATACTGTATGTATGTGGATAAATTTGGATATAATATATCCAACTTCATATACAGAGCTGGGCGATAATCCACTTTACATTTCGCGACAACATAAACAAGCACACAGCCGAGATTTGCTATATAGAATATATTGCTTGATATAAGTATACAGTAAATGATCCAGATTTTTTTGTATGTAAATACCTGTAATGGCTTTCTGTCAGCATATTCGGTGTCTTGTGTGCATCTCGGTTTACGTTTTGACATCAAAATAGATAAAAAAATTGACATTTAGCTATAAAATCTCAAACCTGTTTATGTCATACGCTTTTAAGATATGCATATTTTTGCTAGATATCAGGCTGTTCACTTATGTATGGATGGGATGGTGTGTATGTATATGTGTGTTGTGTGCTGGTGTGTTTGTGCATGCGTTGCTGTAGGCTTTGGAGAAAGACGCGGATGATAATGAGCAATTTGCATGTATGGGCACATCACAGAGATATGGTGGTGGAGGGGTCTTCGTCGCAGTGACAAATTTTTATATTTATTCTTTTTACTCAGATATCCCGGCAGCCCTTTAATGGGAGTTCAAAGCAGGGTGCCTTGCCCCCAGTGTGTATTTATTGAGCTTAAGTAATATACTGTTTTGAGTCCAGAGGACCCCCTCCATGTCATCTGTTCCTCTGAGCCTGGGGCTAAACTTAAATCAACCTCATACACAGCTGCATGCCCAATGATGCACTAATGCCTCATGTTTTGCTGTGCGACACGTTTGAGGATGATGAAGTTCATGCCCTTTCGTGACAGACTTATATCACCCTTAAAGGAATATTCAGGGTTCAGTACAAGTTAATCTCAATCAACAGCAGTTGTGGCACAATTTTGATTACTACAAAAAAAAACTGCAACTCCTCCTTTGTTTTCTTTAAAAAGGAAAACTCGAAGTTACAGTGAAGAACTGTAATGGAAGAATGGAAGTGAATGGGGACAATTTTTAAAGGATTTAAAAAATGTGAAGCTTGTAATTTTATAAAGCACTTGCATATGTATTTTTAGATCTGAAAAGGTCATTATTTTTCAAATATAAAATCTGAATGTTCTGCTTCTCTGGGTGAATAAGCGGCACAGTTTCGTCTAATACACAATAGTTAAAGCTTGCGTGACACTTGTGTTGTCAGCATCTGCCATCCCACTATATGAGAAAACTCCAAATGAACTTCATATCCAGAGCTGCTCTAAGAATTCACTTCACAAGGATTTCACCATTTCATTTAATAAAACTATTGTCAGATACATACAGAAACCACCAAAAAAGTTCTGTTTAGCATTAAAAAAAACATAACTATTGTACAGCAGAATGTAGTTTAAAACTCATAATAACAATAATAATAGTTTATATAGTTTATTATTTTATTACTAATGATTTTTTAAGGAATACCAAAATATTATTTATTTTTTGTCCTTTTAATTTAAACAATAAAACCCTGTTATGCAGCTCTTTGTTTGCCAAGAAATGAAAGGTATTGTTCAAATTTCATTTATTACATTTTATGCACTGATTTGATTACCATTGTTTGTAATTTATCAATTTGTATCACGCCATAAAACACAGAATCCAGAGGAAAAACCACCACATAATTTATAAAAACAATACATTTAATAGGGAATTATTATTGTTAAATATTCAACAAGTTATTAAATTATTAAAGTTTTATGATTTGAATTCATCAGACATCATTTTGATTATTAACATTTGAGTTAAAAATGTGATTGAATTAAACCATTAAAACAGAATCCAGAAAAATTCAAATGAGAAACAAAGAATTGGAGGGGAATAAAACACATTTCTTAGGACCCTAATTTTGCCACAAGTGCTGACGATTGAGTGAATGAATTCCTCTAAATAAGCACTGTTGGTGGAGATAGTCTGAACCATTTCCAGGTAGATGTTTGTAGGAACAGTCTTATCTTATACAAGTTTCCAGAAGACGTTAAATAAAATGGAAAGTAAACCTAGAGGGGCATATCTGCTCTCAGTTCAATCACTGGAGGCGATGTGACCGAGCACAACTAGAGAAGTAATCAGCAGTTCTCTCAGGATCTTCAACCTCTCAGACCCTTTGGACCAAAAGAAGCCCATTGTTCTCTCTGATAGTATTTTCCCCATCTGTATACACTTGTCCATTACTTTTTAATACACCAGTTTTTAGTGGAAGCATGATGACTGATTTATTAGAAACACCATGACTCCAAACAGAGTTTTGAACACCTTTGGTGCTGAAGATTGATCGTTCGGCTTTATTTTTGTCGGTGGAAGTCTTTCAATGTAATCACATCCTTCTGTTTACTCCCTTCCAGCCATAGCTCGTACTGTTTTTGAGCCTTTTTAACCGTACCTCCCACTGAAATATCGAACTGTCACTCGTATTCCCAAACTCACCGGCTCTGCCTTCAGTCATTAAAACTTGATAGGACTCCGTGCAGTACCGTTTTTCAGATGACAAAGGCTGTTATTTCTTTCACATGAAATGAATTTGTGAAACCTTACCTTCGGAAGAAGGTAGCATTATTGAACGTGTCCCATACCCCAGTGCACTCTGGGAAGTTACCACTGAGGAGAGAATGACCGACGCTGAACAGAGGAACAGCTCATCCTGCAGTTCTGTTGCTATGGTTACATTTTGTGCTTGTGTAAAATAGATACATTTTTCCCAAAAAGGCAAAAGGAAGTCTCAATCCCTGATGCGCAGTATGTTGTTTTAATATGCTGAGGCAAATATGTTTTATTGCTGCTAAATGTGTAGTGGATTTACACTTTCAATAAGCTGCCATCTCGGAGAACGCACGGATTTCCTGTAAGTCAAATTGTTCCCAGTTGTTGTTTATGAGTGTTTATTATTTTCAGTCACCGGCTGGTTTTTGGTCTGCTTTGTTGCGCCTAGAAGTGAATCTATA